ATTGAACAGTGACCACTAAACTTGCGAGTTCATTTGTTCTCATGCGATTAAGCACATTCTTGGTCAGGGTGTCAACCTCCTTTTTTCATGTACCTCCATGAGTTATAATGTCTTGATTATTTCATTTTTATAAAAAAATCTAGTGTCAGCCGAGACGGTACGTCCAGTATGGCCGTAGAGATCACTAATCTTCCTCATGCATCATTTCATTCTTTTCGCTGCCAAACTTGGCCGAACAACGAGCATGATCAGATCAAGTTGTTCGTAAAAACGTCCACAATTTAGGCTCGTAACCACACGGTATTTCTGAAGGTGGGCCATTACCACTGTATCACTCGTTGTGTATCAGAAGGGATACATTTATATCACAAGACTAAGCGAAAACGACATAGCACACCAACACAGCCGCGAGCCCCCTGAAACCGAAACTAACCTAAATGAATCCACCTTATTGCGCCGTAGAATGCCTGAATCTTGCTGGCTCGCGCCTCCCCAGAGTGGAGACAACTCTGTCGTCTGCTAGCGGAGTCACCATATTGCCGCCTTCTTGGCCCGTCGAGTATATGTGGAACAGGGCTTATGCAGCCGTTTATGGGCTCTTGACGCAGTTAGTGAGCATTCTCACCTGTGAAATGGAGCGTTACCACTTCAAAACAAGTAAAGTCACTCGTTTATTCAGGTATGCGTTTGAGTTTCCATGTAAAATTCCGATTTAGTCCGCATTTAACGCGAATGTGCTCACAAAAGTTCTGTCGGCTGCCGCTCGCATTCTGGTCCAGTTCTTACAGATGGTCTATCTATGCAAGCACTTTTAATATGCTTGTTATCATCTGCTACAATACCTACCCGTGTTTGGCCTTGCTTTGAATGAAGACAATGAAAGCGATGGACGAGGGAGGTGCAGATATGAGCATATACGTTCTACTTACTATCGCCCCTTATTCGCCGATATTGTTATCGTGATACGTTCTGCGTTAGCATTCAGAGCTTCTGAAGTAAGAACTCCACGACAAGAGATATCTCATAAGGACCTGAGGAGTTTTTTTGTTTGTTTGTTTGTTTAATCGGAAGGAGTCAAATTTAGAAACCGATGCTAAGCCAAGAATGCTGGGTTTCTGGGTGAACTTGGACGTGCTCTGCTTCCAAAGGCTACAAAACTCGAATGGGTCATTTGATGTAAGAAAGAACACTGAACTCGGCCATCGTACAAGGTTCAAAAGTAATTTGAAGCGCAAACATTTCTGTTTTTTTTTCATGGTTCATTTAGAATTTAAAAGTCCCTCACCTGTTGATGCAGCAGCACTAAAAACCTCACAGCCTACCTTTTTAAAAAAAAAACTCTTTGCTTACCAAGTCTTATACAGGGTACCAGCACGCACAAATCTAGACAGATTTAAGTTTTGCTTCTATATTCCCCTAAATCGCCGCAGTAGATATCTATAAATTTTGTTTGTTTACTATTGCAGTATTTTTGCTCACCTGTTTCCATAAAATGCACTGATGCAGACAGAAATCAATAGATGTACGTCTGGTTTACAAATATCTTTAGGTAGGTAACATGTTGGATTAGAGAGGTTTACAGTACTGAGCACAAAAAATCAAGAAAAAGCATTGCATTTAACATACAGGCTCCCCGGTTCTCATATGGAAGCTAAATCTCACCAGAGTATCAGCACCTGTAACAGGGTGGTATTGAAGAGAAATTTCCAACACGCAAAAGTTTCACAAAGCACGTTTAAAGGAGAGAGGATGGAGATCGTTATGTGGTGCACTCGGTACAAGATTCATTACAACACTATTGTTTACTGGACATTTTGATGGCAAAGATATGGGCAGCAATTTAAATGTAGAGTTTTATTTAGACATGGGTACAATTTTTTTATGAAGATTCGAGACTAAAAGAAAAAGACATAAGAAAGGCGGAGAACGTAGAGATCTGAAACACCACTGGGATTTAATTGAAGCATCAGCTTGATATATACAAAATGTATATACCAAGGCGTCTATGTACTCACAGATGCCTGTAGAGGAAAACCCAGAAATAAAACCCACACAGAATCCAAAAGAATCATTCACACACATCCGGACACACATTCCACAAAGAACGTGACAGCACACCTAAATGAACCCAACTTACCAAAATATCTAGTAGTAAAAAAAACTAAATCTCGGACTTCAAAGCAAATCTATAAAAGAAACAGAACACCGGTGCCTGGATAGAAAACCACGTACACAAATAGAATCTACATAAAATTTCTAGACAAATAATCAAACACACACTTTTCACAAGAAAAGTGGCAACATACGTAAACCCACCAACTTTTTGAAACATGTAGTAGTGCAAAAAGAAATCTGTGACTGCCCAACACAGACGTCAAAAAACAAGATTCGTCGGTGCCTGGATAAGAAAACAGAGTAGAACACACACACAAAATCCAAAAGAAGCAATCTCGCACAACCAAACACATCCATTCCACAAGAAAACTGGCAACATATCTGAATAAACCAACTTACCGGAACACGTAGTAGCAAAAGTAAATATGGAACTCCAGAGAGCTGCCAATTTGTTGCCATTGTTTAAAAAAAACACAGCTGTACGACACAGCTATCACACATTAAAAAACGTACAGACCTGCTTGTGTTGCAGCCTGTGACCTAGAGCCATGCCCCAAATTGACTCCTAGGGCACTCTGACCAAGTTCCGTCTCACTGACAATCAGTTGTCAAGTTGGACCTTTCACAAAAACGGAGAGGATTAAAAAGTAAATGCCGCCACTGCGTCGCCCTCGATTGTCTCGTCGCTTGCCAAATCGCTTACATGCGGTACATATTTCATAATATCCCGAGAGATGCCTCACCCCCAAAATATTCCCCTGTAGGCCCAGGGTTTCGGTTAGATTTTTTTTTTTCTCCCAATGGGAGCCTATATATGTCTAAACATTGCACTGCCCGGGCCGGTGATACTTACGACGGAAGGAAAAAAAAGTTGGGAGTGGCATTCGGCTTGAGCTTTCGCCACCCGTCAGCTCTCCCCTCCTCAAATTCACTGGGTTCCAAGTGGGCCTGAAAATAACATATGGGGCATCAATAAAGGAGGTAGATGGTGACATAACTTACTTTTTAGTTATCGTTCTTAAAGTTAGTAGTCCATCAGAAACAGGACAGTATAGTCGCGAAACTACGCACAAAGGTCCGATAGCTAAAATCATTACTTACGGACGTCTACCAAACAAAAAACTGCTCGTACAACACCAGAGCGACCTCTGCAAAGGAACGCCAACACCGAGTTAACATTCTGCACTAGCGGCGTCCAAAGGACTTTGGGATGAAATGGAGTAAAATACCAACATTCCTGTCGATGATCCGACTGCTTGCGGGCTCACACGAACATGTCCTGCTGATGGTCGGTCGAATTTCCCCCGCTCACCTGAGGGTATCTGTAAGTTGTGTTTACTGTCCACGAACGCTCGATTCCTTTGTCGATCGAGCGGTCGTGGTCTGTCGCCGCTCCTCGAGTACAATTACCACGATGCGGCGCTTCATGGCAGTGCCAAATGGAAGAAGCCTACGCCTGAAATAATTTATTACGACCTGAAATGCCACTTTCAATCAATCAACTGTGCGGCAGGAGACACTGTGATTGCGAGGAAACAAAGTTGGTATTCACGCTGCGCACAGACGACGAACGGCTCGGCTCCCAGTCGTGGCACTTCATCTGTGCCGGCCACATGGGCCTCCGTTTGGCGTTTGTTGGGACGCCGTACAGCTTCCACGCATTCCTCGAGTGATTCGGACAGTGGGCCACGCAGCACCCCGGCATTTGCAAAACAACGAGCCAATTCGGTGATCACACGCGGGCATCAGCAGCCGATCGGGTCGCAAAATGGCGGCGGCGGCCGGGAGCAATAGGGGGAAAACAAGAAAAGGCGGCACTCGCCCTTTCAAAGAATGTCACCCGCTCTAGCAAGGCGCAGCCGGCAAGCAACATTGAAACACTCCATGGCACCGCTCGTGCCAGCGCCCTCTGTCCGCCATGCCCGCGACTCGCTGGCACACGGCCCGCAAGTGGCCGGCTGAGAGCCTTTGCTCCCGAGCCTGGAGCGCTAGAAATGGCATGCGCTATAATAATCTAACGCCGCGTATTCGTTTATGTTCGATACGTAGCTCTGCACTTATAACATATTCCCATTGTTTCGTTTTAGTGTGTGCATCTCAGCTTTGTGTAACCTCAGCTGCATGAACGCTCTAAAAAAAATCCTTTTTTCGAAACATATTGTGCTTGAATGATTCCCGAGTGAATTGAGCACCGGGAACTACAGTGTGCGTACTCTTCTGCTTTGTCCAAATATATTAGCAGGGTTGCGAGGCGGTGTCATTTTAATTCTTGTCATCACATCAGGTAAGAGCTTAAAGTAGTCACCAAAACGAATCAAACCAACAGCTGTCATAAGCAAGAGTATATGAAGACCCTTCTCAATAACTTTTCTTTTCATATTACATTAGCCCTCGACTTTTCGGTTGTAAGATATCTGGCCCCCGCACTCAAATGAGTTTGAGGAGCCTAGTCTATGCTGTGGTCTTTAAATATCGAATGCAAATTGTGGGAATGTTTTTATTCACGTTCGTCCACATTTCTTAATAATCTAGAAAGGCACAAAACGTCACGTCATTTTTTTTTTCTGAAGTTCTAAAAGTTTTTTTTTCTTAACAACGTCTTTTTCGTGTAGCGGCTCAAAATAATTCCAGCGGCTACGATCTGGACACTTAGCGAAAACGTTGGAGAGGAATTCTACCGCCGTGATTGACCGGCTCCAAGTTCAAGCGCGAAGCCGGTCAATGACAGTCGCCAACTTTTCCGCCAAGTGTCCAGATTAGAAACGTCACTAAAGGTAGAGTGGAGGGCGGATTGCCGTGGTTGCAGTACTCAGGGTGTCGCAGATGGGCATTGAAGCGAGCCACTGACCCTAGGGACGCCACTGGTCCAGATTAAAGCCCCAGGAGTGATAACCGGTATATCGGCATATACTCCAGGGTTCTCCAGATCTTCCTTCGAATGTTCTTGGCCCTTCCTTCGTATTTGATCACGCTACCTAAACTTCATGATAAGACATTGCGCGCTATCGTCTCCGGCTACCAAAGTGCTCGATACGATGATCATTGATAAGAACAATCGACCGGCTATTTGCTCTAAATTCCACTTCACTTCAGACTTGTGTCAGACGGTTGGTCCCGTGTTGCAGCTGCCTGCTGCTGGCCTTCACTAAGAGCACTTGCGCCTCACATGTGCCGTCCGTAATTGTGACTTCAGGGCTACAGGAACTTGCGCCCGACGTATCTTTGTTCGTGCTTTTGGCCGAAATGACGAAAAGACGCTTTGCGAGTTTGCGTTTCTGGGTCCTTGGGCTAGCCTTTCTCCTTGTCGTAATCAACGCTCAAACAGGTGAGTTTTCTGCCTCTTCATTTTTGTAGATGACGTAGAGAAGCTGGTGCGATGCCTCACGTGATTCGCACTCAGTTTTTAGATTTTTTTTTTCTAAATCGAGGGCACGGATAGTTTATTGAATACACGGAACTTCATGTCCAGTGACTATTTTTTTCCTTCGGATGTGAAATCTTTTTTTAGGAAACGAGTATATCTATCAACATTGTAAAACCCGAGAATTAGGCCAAAAAAAATAAGATGAAAAAAGGGGACAACACAGACACAGGTCTCAAACTCAGCTGAGCATTTATTCTCACAGCCTCGCCTATAAGAACAACGAACCTCCATCACTCAGGCGCATGACGCCACACTGTCAAACACTCTCACATTCCACTGTTTCAACAACTCAATCCGCAGATCGCGAAAGAAAAAAAAAAGAAAAAAAATTTCAGGTTCAGACTGAATCACTTCACCGCATCCTTAACCTTGACGCCGACCCCAGGCAAGGAGTAACAACCTCTCCACAGATCGCTCAATTCAAACTAAGTCTATAAATTTAGAACTTCTGTGAAACTCGACAAAGCGTATGATCTCCAGGGGCCGCATTCCCTAACCCCCCACCCCACCCCCTCTCTCTGTTTCTCTCCCTCTCTCTAAAAAAAAAAAAAAAAAAACTTCCGAAGAACTTAGAAACAGCTGCGTACGAGCACATAATTCCAAAAACAAAAATAAAACCAGAAAACAATGGCTTACACTAACAAAACACACTCAAAGGCTTAGAAATCTCTTCGTCGCCTCGTTCATAAAAGTTGACGGGTTACTGATACAGTTCTATGTGCTGTTTATATTAATAGTTTCGATAAGGATTCTTTTAGCTAAATCACTCTCCTTCACTAACAACGTTCTCTTATTCCTCAGCGGCCTGCAATCGTCGCATTCAACTACGTGTCTCGCCCTCTCCGAATTCTGCGAGTTGGATGCCACTGCTCTCTTGTGCTCAGCAATGCGGTCATTAATACACCTCTCTGTTTGACCTACATATGTCCCTCCGTATTTGAATCGAATACCGTAAACGACCTCTTTTTCACAATACCCCTCTCCTGCCCAGTGTTTCTTTACACATCCCCCATTCACCCTCGTAAAAGGCGTTCACTTACTTAACTTGAAATCCTTTTTAAAAACTACCGAAACGTCGAAACGATGTGCCACTAGTTTCAAAGTTTGAGAAACCGCATAAAAAAAGGTACCACTACACAATTCTCTAGCTGTTCCTTCTTTTGTTCCTTGCCACTGAACCGATCTGTAAGCCTCAAACAAACTTTTGCTACTAGTCCTGATGGGTAACCTGCCATCTTTAATCTTAACTGCTGGCTGGCGGGCTGGCTGGCTGGCTGGCTGGCTGGCTGTGGGAGTGTTTGACAGTGTGACGTCACGCGCCTGAGTGATGGAGGTTCGTTGTTCTTATAGGTGAGGCTGGGGAAAAAACTGTTCAGCTGGGTTTGAGACCTGTGTCCGTGTTGTCCCCTTTTTTCTTTTTCTTTTTTTTTTTTTTTTGTCCTAAGTCTTGGGTTTTACAATGTTGAAAGTTCACCAGCTTGCTTGCATCTTTTCTGTAATAAGTATCGTCTCAATGATCGATAAGCGCAAAATAAAACAGTCGAGCCTGAGTTTTTTTTTATCATTTCGAATATTCGTTTGATATAATTATGCTTTCACAGACGGCGTTTACGAATAATACTAACATTTTAAAAATACCAATGTGCGACAGTTACTTTTTAAACCACAGAGAATGTCGTGGCGGGGGCGCTGCCCTAATTGTAAAGGCTGACATTTCCTGTGAAACGCTATCTGAATATTGCTGCGTTCACAGAGACTACGAGATGATGTCCATACTGATAGGACAGAGCAAAATCTGTTATCGTACCGCCAAGTGGGAGCCTCTCTTCCTTTTTAGCTTATATAGAGTCTTTTCTCGAGTTCGCGAATGAAAACGAATGTAATCTTGTTAAACGACGTTAATGTAAACATGATACTTGATACGACATGCAGATTACAATTTGATGCGTCTACTAAATCGAACGAATTTGAAAATAGAATAAATACTGCGACAAGAATTGCGACGGAATCATCGACATTATTTGATTTATTTATTACAGGGTACGATACATCATATATCAAATGTGGCGTAGTGATAGCTTTCATAAGCGATCACTTGGGTGTATTTTTGTGCATAAAAAAGCAAAACTATAAACATAAAACATAATATTCAGTAATACCTTACGCTTACACTTTCAGAATATAACGCCTGATGGCGTGAATGAATTCAGACGGAAATTATCTTGTTTGGATTGGGACGATGTTATTCATGAAACGAACGCAGATACAGCATTTCATTTGTTCTTGAACAAATTTGAAAAACTATATGAGCGCTGTTTTCCGTGCAGAAAGTTAGGCACTCCTGGAAAAAGTCGTTAGCCATGGATTACAAAAGAATTACTCGAAAAAATTCGTACTAAAACTGCTTTATCTAATACCAGACTGCCTTGCGTCGGTGCGCAAGGCAGTCTGGTATTAGGCTTTTTTTTTTCGGCATCGCTGGGCATGACGTCATGCCGGGTCCTGCCCTATTCGAACGTCCTTGATGCAAAAGCTACGACAATGGCCGCCGATGTGACATCAAACGCCAGCCACGTATGTTCAACGGCAGGGCGAGAACGGCAGGCAGGCCCTTCGGTCGTCTCGCCTCTGCCTGCGACGCTAACATTCCGTCTTCCATAGCTCCTTGGCGTCTCGTCGTGAGCTTCAAACGTGCGCCCGCAGGCAAAGCATGACGGAAAGCAACGACCACGCGTACGAGGCCCTCTGTCTCTAAAAGAGACGCCCTGCGTTTCGCGTCCTGTTATGCGGAGTGCAAGTTCGTCTGCTTCGTGCATGGGGGTTGCGGCGACGTCGGAATGCCTAGCTTTGATTGGAAGGATAGTGGGTAGACCTCGAGCCAGCTAGCATTGAGGTCTACTCAATATTCTTTCAGTCAGGGCCAATCAGAGCTCGGCCTCCTGACGTCACCGCACGAAGGGGATGAACTTGCGCTCCGCGTAGTTACCGACAAGGTCCTTCGATAGGTTGATTGGACACGAAGCCCTGCCGAACGCTGACGCGTCACTCGCGTCCAATGAGTGCCTGCGCTTAATCCCACTGTGATTACGTCGAGATGCAGACTGTCCTCAGGTATTTCAGGAGGTGTTGGTATAGCACCGACCCTTACCGTGTTGTAATCGTAATAAGAAAGTGCTAAAAGCATCTTATGTTAAGTCATAGCCTCCTCTATACTCACAAAGCCTGGCAGTTCGACGACGGAGCCATAGAGTGCCCGGTCGCATATTTGGAGCGCGAGGATCTGATAGCACAGAGCATCAAAAAGGTATTTGTCGGGGAACCTAGACGTCAACGCACAGCTTTTACAGTGGCGAGAACCCGAAACATACTTGTTCGCTCGGGAGAAGTGTGTTTCGGCGTCTTGCCGCAGCGGGGCGACAGTCACGTGGCTCTCCTCTCATCCGTTGTCTGCCACTCCACCTTTTCCATATCGGCGGCCGCTTCTCGCGGCGATCTGCCAGGCTTTGTCAGTATATAGGAGGCTATGGTTAAGTACAATAATTAGGCACGTGCAATATTACACCGATTTCGGATTGCATTAATTATCTTTTCTTCTTTTTTTACAGCGGAACCTAAAGAAAACTGGCGAGAAGTGATCAGTTGCCCCAACCACGATTACTACGATGCCGCTCTGGGAAAATGCGTGTGTAAGATGCATTAATTTATTCCACTTTTTCTTGCTTCCTTTCTGCCTTAAAGGCCGACGTATGCACCGTCGGCCTTTAAAGTCTAAGAGAGAAGGACGGTAAAGACCGTCCTTCTCTCTTAAACTGTGAGTGTTGGGGCAGGGTAAAACGTGGAGAGGATATATAGGAAAGCAGGAGACGGGCAAAAGTAAACAGCGCGAAGTGCACGTCGGATGAGTTTGCGCTAAAGTTGCACTTGTGAACTAGGCTTTAGGCTGACGATGCGAAAACACGTGTGATTTTCTGATCATTCGCGTTTTGTTGCGGCAGTGACCTAGCACGTCAGTGCCGCAGCTCGGAACTAGCGGGGCCTTAGGAGGAACATGAAGAGGCCCTTTAATTCGAACAAACAGTAAAAGTTGTAATGTACACACATTAAAAATTACGTGTCTTAAGTTTTCGTTTGATCTTCTTTGTAGGAGTGTCGAAATAACCAATTAAAGTTTCGACGTAGACCCGCCCTTTGCAGCGCGCGTCGAAGTTAGGAAAATGCGAGAGCGGAGAGACTAACTAGCTGAAGTGACGTCATCAGCGGTGTCACACGGCACTCGGCAATCTCTGCAGGTATTTTTTTTTTTAATAAATGCGGTTTACGTTTACTTTTGCCAATATAACTGCGGTAACTGAATTCGCGGAACAAAACTTTATAGAAGTCCGCGCCTAACTTAGATTTTGTGAAAAGTTCTTCAGCTTCCCTTTAATTCATTAAGAGGCAGGCGTCTATCCAGTTAAGCGAATTGGAAACTAGCAGTATGAGTCCGCCGAAACCAATGGCCGGGATAGACTACTTGGTTAAGACGCGTCGCCACGGGCAGGCGACATTTGAAGGTTGATATGTACCGTGTGCATCGTGTGTTGTTACCGCAGTTGAGGAATCGAACACCTTGAACCACCGACACACATACACTAAAGAGTGCAAGTGACTAGATGTTCCTTGTGCATCATTGGCGCATCCATAACAGAACACACATGGAAACATGACAAACACCATGACGTTGCGCATTTCACGCCGTTTGATTGCTCTTATTGGCGAGCAATGATTGGCAGAATAGTGCACGAACCTCCGCCGATTAGTATTCCCAATGCTGTGGCCACGGATTATATCATTACAGCGGTATGAATGAAATTTGAAAGATATAAAATTCTTTTTTGGGAAGTACAATAAGGAGTTTTAGAATAGCGCACGCTAAAGCTTTGCGTACGCAAAGAATAGCGTCGACGCCACTGCGCATGCTCCGAACGCGAACCAGGTTTTGCGCTTTGCGTGCGCAATTTTAGCGTGCGCTATTTCTCGGAAATAGCGTGCGTACGCAAAGAGCCTTTGTGCTTTTCCAAGAAGGATTCATGATGAGAAGTTGGCTAAAGCCAAGACGAGCAGAGTTAAGCAAAAATGGCGGCTTCCAGGATTATATCGGCGGCTGCTTTGGCGGCGTCGTGAGTGCGACGTCGGCGGCATCCTCGCGAGTGCGATTTTCAATACGAGACGAAATTGTACTCGGTTTGGCAAAGATCACCGGCAACATGATGCTTGCGACGCGCGAACACTTCTCGGGGAAGATACGATGTGCGAAGGTCAGTACACGAGACCTCTCTTGCCGAGACGACGCAAGCGGGCACGACCGGTCAACCGCTCGCGTCGCATTCTCGTGTTTTAACGAATTTAAAGTGGTACTCTGGACCAAAAAGCTTGTTTCTTTCTAAAGTTACAGCATTTCGTGAGTGAAATAAAAATTGTGACTGTATCTTGGTGGCGTCGCAAGCGCGAGATGCTTGGGCTTTTGCGTCGCGACGGAGTAACGCTATTCTAAAACTCTCTTGCGTCGCGGGCGCTAATACAAGCGCTAAATTTAGCGCTAGCGTGCGCTAAAATTGCGCACGTTATTCTAAAACTCCCTAATAATTAGGCAAGCGTAACGTTAAGCAAATTTAGGGCTTCATTAGAGAGTTTTCGTAAATCGTTTTCACCGTCTCGCAATGCTCTCCGCAACCCGCTACGATACCCGTATCGTAGTGACAGTCAAGGCTATCGGCGCGCAGGCCAAGTAGCGGCCACTTTGTTGCGGAGGGCTTTGCGGAGTGGGAAACGCGGTCTACGAAAACTCCTTCTTATTTCATCGCGTTAGCGTTAAGGGGCTCGTGTCACAGAAAAGCAGGCGTCGGTGGCGTTGTGACGGGAAAATCCTGATTGGTTGATACGATCATGACGTCACCGCCACATGACCTTCCGCGGGAATTTTAAACAACCAACGGCGCTCACGTGAAACATGACGTCACGCGTAAAATGAAAGTAATTCAAACGTGACGTGTAATTCGAATTGAACGTCGCCGCATGTCTCAATAAGTTCACGTATTAAAAAATCCAATTTCTTTAAAAAAGAAAAAAATTCTGAGAATTTTAGGGGGTATTTGAACCCACGACCCTTCGGTTTCGAGCCACATACGATACTTACTAAGCCACGCAAGGCAGGTTCGCCCGGCGCATGAGAAGGCGATGAGAACGGAGCTCGATAACGCTATCACGCTCAAATCTTACAGTCGAAGCTTAAGTGTCCTCCAAGTTTGTTGTTTTTGTTTGTTTGTTTGTTTGTTTGTTTTACAGCGGAACCTAAAGAGAACTGGCGAGAAATAATCAGTTGTCCCAACCACGACTACTACGACGCTGATCTGGGAAAATGCGTGTGTAAGATACTATGATTTCTTTCGTTTTTTTCTTCCCCTCCTTTTTGTGTCATTTTCAATTCACGTTTGCGCCAAAGTTATCAATCGTACAGCAGACGCCAGGCTGATGACTAGAAAACACGGACAATAAGAAAATCATCCGCGTTTTCCCTTCGCCAGCTTTCCGCCAACTGCACGAGTGAACCTTGTAGCGGACTCCCACGCTTCCCGCGTGCTTCAAGTCTTCCTGAAATTGACCTACATTGGGGTTTCCGATCACGCTCAACAACTTTCAAATTGGAACCACATGTTTAATTTTACCAATTGAAAGGAAATTTGTAGATTTTCGAAAATAAATATGCTAATTAGTGCGCGTTCTTTTTTTTTATTAATCCCTGACGTCCACCATGGCATGCAGTTTCTTCCAGAGAAGAGTTTCCTTTTTAGTCTACCATCCTATTCGCAGTGATTTTTGAAAGTACGTATTGGAAGAAACACCACGCGCTGTATTCCAGGCCACCAATCTCTCCGAAACCATCATTTATTTTTTGTCCTCGCTCTCTCTCCCTCTCTTTCTCTCTCAGTATACATATTTATTTATTTGTTTATTTATTGTTTTTATTTATTTATTGTACCTTCAGGGGCACAAGGCATTCCAGAGGGGAGTGGGAACAATAGTAATAATAATACAAAAGGAACAAAATATAAAATACCCAAAGAACAGGGAACATGAAATCGGCAGTAGATGTACAGAAACGTGCGTCGTCATGAATTGATGTGAGCGATGAGGGTAAGCGGTTCCAATCTTTGGAAATTATGGGAATAAAAGAGTCCTATTAAGCGTTAGAGTGGCAAAATGAACACCGACTTGTGACGATGGTCAAGGCGTGCCGAAACAAAATAGGGGGTGGGGGAGGGGATGATAAGTTGTAATTCAAGCTGAGAAATATGGTGATAGATTATAAGAAAGACAAATACAAGCGTTTTCATCTTAATTAAATCACGGGTCAGGGTTCGAATTTTTTTTAAGTTCACCAAAAAAATATATGTTTTCGTAGCATGCATTCCTCAAATGAAAGAGCGTAAAGGTGAAGCTTGGTGGATTTCTTGTTTGCAAGTTATTGACCGTTGAAGCGGCCGACGCGAAAACTGACGTTTCTTCCACCTGTCGGGAATTCCATATTTGACCGCTAGTTCTTTTGTCACTTGCCAAACTACTGCACTACCATGACGTTTTTGCAGCACTCTCGAAAGAGGTTAGATTATGTCTAAAGAATTGAAGAAGAAAAAGTTATATTTTCGAATAAACTTTTAAAAATGTCGAAGTGTTTGTTCGGTGAATTTGGGCAAAGCTTGGCAAGTTTTTACGCGTGACCTATTTACGATAATTGAATTACCTTTGAATGACGTTGTCTGAATAAAGTGCATTCAATTCAATTCAATTCAATTCATTCACTAAAAATCTCAAATGTAGCTTTTTTCGTTGATTACAAATTTAACATTATACGCTAAAATAAAATTTGTTACATACTTTTAAATTAAAGAATTTTTAAAAAACTCGCAAAACCCAAATTCATTTTCTCAACGAAAAAAAAATATAAAACTTTTTTTAATAAGTAGCAAGGTATAATAGTGCTTTATCAGTAAATATAAATATAATATATATTATTTTGTTTATATGACAACAATTAAAGCTTTAATCTTTTTAGATGTGAGTGGCAAAACGACAAGCTCTATTGCGGAGTAAAATGCCTTTTACTCTAGGCTATGAACATTCTTCCTTATTTTGCAGCTTATATACATGTGCAGTAAAGTAACATTATAGGTGATTAACTGTCTACGTCAGAACGTCTGCCACCCATTCGAGGACGCAGTCAAAACGAACAGCTGACAAGATTCAAGCTCCAATTCCAGCCACACTAACAATTCCAGCCACACTAACAAAATACTATATTTTTTTATAAACCCCAATTATATCTTGTTACTTACAAAGCATAACGCGGCTGAAAAATATTTATTTTTCTTAATCCACTACCGAATTTGCAAGATTGGGCCTTCTGGTAATGTCAAGGTCATTAGACTATCTTAAGTCGGTCACGTTGAAGAACTTCCCAAAGTTTTTCTAGAAATGATTGAAGACACACAGTTTCAACGTTTTTTAATGTTATTTTTAAAAATAAGGTTTGTTTTGCTGTAATGAGCTAAAACAAACTCTATATTCGGAGTATCGCTATAGAGTCCTAACACAGTAGTTTTAAAATGTTGGCGTGGAGATATTGAATTACCTAATAATAATATTTTACTTGAAACGTAAGCCTAATGAATTCAATTGTGCGTAATATGGAGCACGCGTTATTTTAATCCGAACAAAGCTTGCAGTTTTACAGCGCACATCAGACAAGATTCAAGCTTTAATTTCTGTCATATAAACAGAAGACTAGATATTATACTAATTTTTCTGTGATAATTAATGCACTATCACGCCTTCATACTCATAAAACAATAATTAAATGAGAATTGACTTCTTCAGAAAACCGATCGCGAATTTGCTAGACTTCCGAAACATTCGTTCATTCAAATTAACGAATTTTATTTTGAAAATATAACGTTAAACCTGTATTTAATATCGGAGGCTAAAGTTGAGCTTTCGGTTGATGTCAAGTTTATCTAGTATCCTAAAAAAATCAGACGTAAGAATATGCCGAAAACTCACCAAAAGAACAAAGTTCGACATATACTAAAATATATTCCAAACAATAAAGTTTTGTTTAATTAATAAGGCACAACGAAAGATATTTCTAGAGTGTAACAAGAGAGCCGTGAAGTATTTTAAAGAAAAAGACAAAATAGCGAGCGGTCAAACATCTGCGACTGCCTACATGTTGGAGAAAGTCATATTTCGCCTCGGTCGCTTCAATGGTCAATCAATTAAAAAATCTAAAAATCTACCTAGTTTGCTATTTACGCTCTTTTTAATTTCAAGAATGCATCTAACACATTTTGTCAAAATTAAAAAATTAAATAATAAAACTGTTTCTGAACTGAGATGAAAACAGCCATATACTAATATACTAATATAGAACAAAAAACACCCGTGTTTCAAGGCTGCGCCTACACTTTTCCTTGGCCACGTTTGGTTGGGAATTTTACAAGCTTTAGACCATCTAAGCTACATATTAATAATGAAATCCAATGGGATTTATCAAAAACAAAATATCTGTCATCAACTGAAACAAAGACTGCCAACGACTATCGGAGCCTATGACGTCATAGTCTCCCGCCTGGTCCTAGAAAGGCCATTTTACTTTATTACTTTTTTCAGCAAATATGCGACTGTGCAGTGTAAACATGTTTTAATAGTGTCTCGACAACGTATCTGGTAGTTCCGGCAAATATTTATCTAGATTAGTTACGTTCATTTTTTATTATTATTTTATTATAATCATAGTGAAGTCACAAGCTTTAGCCGAACCTTTCGAACTTTCGAAAAATTGACAAAGCTCGACAAGCTTTTTAATGAGTGTTGCCCGATTTCAACACAAAATTCTCAAGAAAAAAATTATACATTTGTTTGTTCTAAAACTGAGACGGCCATTGTCAGTGCATAGAAAGTATAAAAGCAAACATAATATTTCAATAATTTAGATTGTTAAAATTTTTGCACGCGTCCTTCACCGGGTGACGCCAAGCTTTTTTTTTTTCTTTTTTTGGCCGAGGCTACATTTACACGCGGGGACGTAGCCAAGTCAGGAGGAGATAAGGCTCCATCTACGCAAAAGGTCACGTGACTTATTATATAAGGAAACAATTTGTTTTATGTATATATTATGCTTTCTTATGAGTAAATATAGGATATAAAAATAACGAGGTTCGATTTCATTGTTGTATAAAAGTTAATATGTCATCTGACCTTACAAATGATTAGACGATTTATCAATGTTTTACTATTTTGTAAGACTAATAGCAAATACTGTATCATGCGTCATAAAGATAGTATCAATACATATCTTTATAGTTATGTTGTCCAAGAATCACACAGACGTGTGGGCGGCGTGCGTGCCATCCGTGCGTGTGGGCGTCCTGCAATGGGGTGCGGGATTGGTTGGCTTGGTGCGGGTGCGGTCTCCGGGGCCTTCGCCCACGTGTGCATCGCTGCCGAGGCGAGGCAGTGAGGCTTCGTCGTGCGTGTGGATGGCTTGGTTCGAGGCGTTTTAGTGCGAGCTTATGTGCATCAAGTGCGGGCCCATCGCTCCGTACGTTCTTGATTTGCGCGTACGCTCGCTATCTCACAAAGATTGTGAGAGAAGGGAAAACACGCTTTAAGCTTATAGCAAACATACTGAGAGCATTCAATCGAGGAAACTGGGTAAAATATTCCACAAACATTTTATTCCATGACAAATAAAACAGTAGCCGGTGCACAGATGCTACTCGTCCACGAGATCACAAATGAACACGAAACTCTTCTTGCGGCAGAACTCCTGCAGGAGCCAGTTCACGTCTCTGTGCCGATCATTCAACGCCTGAATCTCGGCACTCTGGTTACGCTGACACTTCAACGAAGAAAACCTGCATATTCTCCCGCCTCGGAAGGACGAAAAAAAGGCGATCTACATCGTCGAATTGCGTTCCAAGATCTGAACGGCCAGCCGACGGTACTTGTCAATGTACGCGCTGGGACAAACGCTGGTGTTGTTTGTGCCTACGTGCAAAATGACAGCATCAAAATCGAGCACGAAGCCTCGATCCTAATGCCACTAATCGCTTGCACTTCGACAGCCACCCGGTTATTCGATGGGAAATACTGGGACAAGTATTTCACCATCGAATCCCCGGTAACCAAAACTCGAGGCATGTCAGAAGCACGACCGGGACAAACTCCTTGACAAAAACAAAAAAAAAAGGAAGAAAAAAAATGGGAGAAGACGGGAAGAGAACTGTCTCCGTCCACGCACGAAGTGACGTAGTGCGTGGATGTAGACACTCCCCTTTTTTTTATTATTAAGTTACGCGCATCCGCCTAACGGTTGAACTTTCCTCGTACTTAGTCGAACTTTAAGCTCCTAAGAAGTCGAACCTAGTCAACCTCAAACCTGGGCAGGTTTCACGATGACTTTAATTACAACAAAAACTTAACTTTTAAAGAAAAGTTTGGTGTCTGTTTTGACAAGCGGGGTGCCTTAGCTCCTAATGATAATCGTAAAATATTAATCCGACTGACAACTTTCACGTCAAATGAAGCCTTGTTTTAGGGCAAACTAAAACTACGGATTAATTTCACAATCGAGACACCATTTAATTTAAACCTGGAGCTTTTCTTCAACGAAGCCAAACTTATGTGTCGTAAACTAAAATAAAACGACACAGGCTAGCCATGAAGGTGCTAATAGTTCGTAATCTTTGAATCTTTTGTCGCAGCAGTCTGTACGCCTCCAAGTAACAGAAGCTACGGATACGCATCTATATACAACGTTGCTTTGTAAGGCCATGGCAAAAAAAAATAACACTCGCAAATGCTTTTTTTTTTTTTCAGCAATTTATGGACCAGACTCTACCGAGCGTTTTCAAGCACCAATTTCAAGGACACCGCCATCAATTGAGATTGCTGGAAAGCCTCAATAATGCCGTGCCAATAAAAGACAATCAAGAGGAACTACAGCTAGTCCGAGCCAGCGTCTACTTCCCGCGTGATTTTAGGAAAAAAAAAACCTACTAAAGCAGGAATCAACGTAGACCGCTTTTTTAAACCAGTCGCTCCACCTAGTATCTGCTGGTTCAATTAATTATCCGAGTCCACCATTGTTTGGAGCACGCACTCTCAGCATGTATTGGCCAAGAGTGCTGACGTCATCGTTCGGCTAGGACTCGGTTCCAATCAGACACTTCGTGTTCAAGAATGGCGACCGTCAATGTTTCTTAATGGACTTTTGAAAAGGGACAATTGCAGTACCCTCAAACGCTTCAGCCTTTAAAAAAAAGGAAGACAATTTCAGTTGTCACGAAGCAACCTAGTCGTAGGGTGTGAGTCTCTGGGGCAACAATATTAGTAGAAACATTTTGTGTTCGACGTACCCCTCTGAGATAAAAAAAAAATTAAAAAAATAAAAATGTGCCATATTTCGTTCCCGCTAACTGTTTAGGTCTGTGTATACTGTAATTCGTTCGTTCCAACACACGATGAAAGTTTGCCGTGTTATTTAATATTTTTTTTAGCATACGATGTCCGATGGTCACGCATTTCCATCGCGTTAGAAATAGAATGGAGGTGCCATAATGCGAACGCCAAGTAATGGCATACCAAGAGATATTGAGGAGTATAGACGAAGGGCAGTGTTGCAACTCAAGAAGGTAGGGCGAGGGGAAGGAAGGCTGAGGAGGAGAAAGCAGACGAAACGCTGAAGAGGAGATGGGGAACATCCTCCTCTCTTTAGCGTTCCGTCTGCTTCTTCCTCCCCGCGGCCCTTCCCCTCGCCCTACCTTCTTGAGTTGCAACGGACTATAAAAAACGCGGCTGGGGGCAAAAAAAAAAAAGAGAGACAGACATCTTTGGCAAGGTAACAGTGTTCTAGAAGGGAGACATCATTGGCAAGGTAGCAGTGCCGAAAGCTAGGCCAACATCAAATTGGGGGGGGGGGGGGGGGGGGGGGGGGCGCTGTGCTGAAAAGCGGATAACCGCCTTTGGCGCTGCAGTCAACAACTGGAGGAGAAAACGGCTGCATCGCTTGCTTCCTCTCGCATTAGCAGCCATCGAGGGCTCTTGGCGGACGCCGCTTGTCTAAAAAAAATGGATGTGCTGATCACTCCAAAGCATTAAAGAGACCCTGCAAAAACTTTTTTGCTGGTTTTTAATTTGCCACGACTTTGAGCGCACTGAACGTAGTAACTTAGTGAAACTTTTCTTTTCTCGAATTTCGCTTTATTTTAAAAGTTATAGGCAAATTATAATTACAAAAACAAGCAAAAAAATAACCTCCTTCATGACGTCCTTGGTCCCTTCAGTGGCCGTGAACTAGAGGAGGGGTAGTGAGCTCAGCGAGCGCTCACGTCTGCCGCACTTCGTGTGGACAGTTCGAAAGGGTGCCACTAAAGCATGCTGTGGGCTGTATGAAGCGGGCAGTTAGGGCGGCTCGCATTGCATTTGCTGCGCGATTAAACACTCATTCGGCATGACAGTTCACTGGCCACAGACGACAGCAAACACGGGGTTGATCTACTTGACAAAAAACGTGCCTTCCTCCATGACACGGCCTGGCATCGTGTTGGCTAGTGATGGGGCGATATCCGAAACACGGATGGTACGTAAGTGACGTTTCATGTCATAGAATGAGTTGTTAGTAGCGCACTGTGGTGTCTGATTCTCGTGTTTGTGCCCTTATGCTTTAAGCACTAAAGTGTATTCCAAGTTCCGAAACCAACTAGCCCAACAATCTACACTACTCTAAAGATCAGTTCAGAACGGGAGCCACTTCGCGCTGCCATACAGCCAAACGGCCAAACCGCAAAACAAACCTGCTCGGAACTCTCGGAACCGATCAGATCCTCAAAACAGCAGCGAGCTCTGCGAGCTGTTTCGTCGTCGGTTACGCTTAGCGGATTCAGCGCCGTGAGATGAACGATCTTGTGAAAGCACTGGGAACACTTCACGCGTCGGCTTTTCCTGTTACAGTCGCAAACGAATGTCGTCCCGTCCGTTGTGATCCTCGCACCGTCGAACGCACAAGCACTTTGTAGAACCACACATCAATCACCGTCATGCCGGACCCCGCACACCACCAAAGACCACTGCCGGCCATCGTCAACAAAACCACGTGATCACCGTCCAGCTACCACGTGACGCCTGCGCCGCTCCGCACTCCGACGGCTACAGACGGAGTGCCAGAGAGCGCTCTGAGAGGGAGAGGCGCCCTCGGAATGAACCATCCGATCAGGCCACAGCACTCTCTTTCAACCGCCCGATTTCGCGCGCTCTGGAAAGAGCGCTCGAGAGCGCGCAGAAAGAACCACGCGAATTCGCCATTAGTTACTCTGTCCGCGCCTGCTGGCTTGCCCGAACCCCAAGAGACGTGGAAACCGCAAAAAAGGTAGTCTGATTGCAGGGTCCCTTTAACTGCTGAAGTAAATCTGATTGCAGGGTCCCTTTAACTGCTAAAGTGATGGTATTTAATGCGGCCATTAGGCTGCCTTTCTTTGCTTGATCACTGAGTACTGAAGTATGAAGCGGCAAAATACCTGGAGCTCTATCAGTCGATCCGCATAGCCCTTTCGCCCAGTTTTGTCATCAGAAATATCTGTTACTTTCAGTACCTTCAGCAGATTCTAAATTTGTAGTTGTGCCACGCCCTTCTGTGCTGTGCAACTAATTGTTTTATCACCCTGAATGCTTCCATGTGAACATCTTTATTGTGTGTGTGTGTGTTTCTGAGCGAATTGTCGTGGTGTTAGCCTGATGTAACTTTTTTTTCTCTCACTTTCTTCGGTTTTATAGGACGCTTAAAGTCGGATGCAGCTCTAAGTGTACATGTTTTCATTTTTTTTTTTTGTTTGTCATGGTGTATGTGAGGAGAGCTTCCTTGCAATTGAGCCATTTTCTTGAGCCGTTGAAAAGTAAAATTGTCAGAACCTTTCCCCCTCATGCATTCGGTCTTGTTCTTAGCGGCTTTCGCTTCTAAGTATAAATAAATGTTATTTGTTTTAAGGGTGGAAAATATTCAGGATATTTCTTTAATCAAATAGGTCCGATTTTTTTTATTTCAATCAAACTTACGTGAATGAAATCTCTTCAGCTAGACATTAGTGACCTTTTTTTCACTAAATGTGTGTTGTGTTGTTTTATTACTATGTGGCATATATATTTCCGGCTTGATATTTCTTTACTTCAAACACAAAATAAACACCTATGGGAAGAATACTGACAGACAAGCGGTAAATAAAAAATATTTTCAGTATTGTCTGGGGGAAAAGTGTTTAATTTAGTCCATTAGAGCCAAATCGGAGCGCCTTAAATCCTTATAGCAAAATTGATGCGATTTAAATAATGATACAAATCATTCAAATCAAAATTTGAATTATCTTACTATTTATTATTCATCTTGTTGGAGTAAAATTATGTCAAAGCATGTTATGAAATTCGTTGTTGTTTTCTTGCTATGGAAAACAAGAAATTGTTTTCACTGCAAGTTACGGCTACATATCACTGGGATACCAAGAATTTAAGAACACAAACGCTAAGCAACTTTCTCATATATGAACAGTAAGCAGCTAAGGAAACGAGGCATAGCTTAATTTTATCTCCCAATCTTGTAAGCCAGTCCACCAGTAAAGAACCTGACTTTAAAAACTTTGTTGGATCAGTAGTTTTCATTGATTGGGCAGAAGCATACCTCGGCAAACCTTGCTCGTGAGGGCCCTCACTCACCCCCACTCATACTCATCTTCACAGGTGAGGTGAGGGTGAGTGAGTTTCTGAACCCCGAAAATTCATAAGTGTGAGGGTGGGTGAGGATCCTGAGGTCGTGGGGGGTTTGAGGGTTTGAGGACCGTGAGGGTTGTGAGGATCGTAAGTGCGTGAGGGCCGTGAGGGTTGTGAGGACAGTGAGTGCGTGAGAGCCGTGAGGGTTGAGAGGACCGGGAGTGTGTGAAAGCCATGTGGGTTGTGAGGACCATGAGTGCGTGAGGGGTGTGAGTGCGTGAGGGGCATGAGGGCGGTGAGTACGTGAGAGCCGTGAGGGGTGTGAGGACCGCGAGTGCGTGAGGGGTATGAGTGCGTGAAGGGCGCGAGGACCGTGAGCGGTGTGCTGCTAATGAGTGCGTGGGGGTGAGGGCGGTGAATGCGCTAGGGTTACTAGTGCGTGAGGGGCGTGAGAACCATGAGTGCGTGTGGGGTGTAAACGCCTAGAGAGCGGCGAGGGTACTAAGGGGCGTCATCAGTTCGTGAGGGTTCTGAACTCAAATGAAGTGTTTGCGTTTGCATGTAGGGCTTGCGCGAGACGATGAGTTCTCTGTGAGGCCTGATTTTGCTTGAAGGCATAAAGAATTTGTGAGGGGCGGCGCGGGTATTGTGATCTCTCGCGGCATCTTCCGGAAAGTGGGGTCGACGCTCGCCTCACACAATGACGCTGCGCGGATGCTTGGTGCGGTTTGATTATTTGGTAATTGGTGAGAAAGGAGTTAGTGCGAGCTAAGGCTCGCTGCTTGGCGCTGTTTGACAGCGCGGTTTATGCAGCTAGTGTTTCGTTGGCCGTTTTCTTCGTTACGTTTAAGAGAAAAAAGGAAGCTGGGTCGGAATGGTCGGCTCCCACGCACGCCATCAAGAAGATTTGCACGGCCCAGCAAGGAAACGCTGGGACCGCCGTAACGAAAAGATGGATCCCTGAACACGACGGGCACCCACGACAACGAGCGAAACCACGAGCTTGTGAGCGAGGCTTCACAACACCGCTTCCGGCACGGGGTCCCGACATGGCTGGCACCCTTCCAAAGAACCGGGTGAGGAGCGCTGGAGCCGCCGCCAACGAAGACGGCAGGACCTGCTTCCTACCATCATACCTCGGCAAACCTCACGCATGAGGCCCTCACTCACCCTCATCTTCACAGGTGAAATGAGGGTGAGTGAGTTTCTGAACCCCGAAAATTCATGAATCTGAGGGTGAGTGAAGAACCTGAGGG